TCCAAAAATCGTTCAATAGGACAGACCCGAAAATTAGAGATTTTTATCTCAAAAATAGCATAATACAAATCATAGATGCCCCTACTCTCTGTGAATGATAACTTTTCCTCCCCTACCCCCTTTTTGATTTTCTTTTAATCCCTACTACCAGAAATGTTTTTTAAGGTTTTATTGCTAAATTTTGTTAATTTGGGACATCAAATTTCCGATGGGGAGTCTGTTTTTGAGGTCCTTCCTAATATACAAGTTTCGCCCCCCATCCTATCAATTCTGTACATGAAAACAAATTTTCGAGCAAAATTATTATTATTTACTTCATTTTAAGGTTAAGTCAGGTAAGGACGCTTTCTGGACCGAGCGCTGTGGCTAGGACAGGCTAGGGGGCTGGCGGCTTGGGCCACATGACCAATTATATCCATGTGTTGCATATGAGATCCATGTACAAAATTGAAAGGAGGGTGAGGGGGGGTGGTCCGTCCAAAAATCGTTCTCTTGGAATTTACCCAGTTTATGAGAGGGATAAAAAATTGCTCTTTTAAGACCATTTTTTAAATCGTTTAATCGTGTAATTATTGACAGCTAAGAGAGGGTTCGGGGGGGGTATAATAGAATAGATAACGTTGGTGAACGCTTAACCTCCACACTCCCTCCCAATAAAATGTGTATAATGTAATATGGTCACTTTTGTGGCCTCTTTGGTTAACAAATTACTTTATATTGTGTAGTGATGCTGACCTTGAGCGACTATTAGACCAGTGGGAGGAGGATGAGGAACCTATTCCTCCAGATGAGCTTCCAGAGGGACATCCTGACCGTCCAGTGCCTCCAATGGATTTTAGTAAGTGATTCAATTCAATTGTTTGTTACATACTGACCGATGGAGTAAGTCAAAGTATCAAGTTTTAGTTATTAACATGAGCTCACTCGTTCCCAATTGCCCCCCCCCCCCCCACTCTCCTGTTGTTGACGCCTACGATCATAATACTGAGAAAGATTTTATTTAGATAATAGTTATTCAGAATTAAAAGGTTTTAGTACAAAACTGGTCTAATAAATCAAATTTGCTTTTATACCTAATATGAATGGTTCGATTTTGGCCACTTATAGTTTGCACGACGATCTTTTCCTTCTGTGTTTAAAAGGGAAACATTATGAAATAAGCGCTTTAATTACTTTTTCAGATTTTGTTTCAAGCTACAGGCCCGTAGCGAGGGGGGGGGGCACAGGGGGGCACACTTTCTGCGACAAAAAATGAAGAAAATAAAAAGAAGGAAACGAAAAATTAAAGAAAAAAAGGATAAAAGGGGAGAAAATTGTCATGATACTAGTTTATTTTACCAATTTTTTTTAAGTTAAAGAAAAATTGAATGCTTTCTGAAATAAATTATTTGGGAACTTTTACTTCTATAATTACAAGGTTTTAATTAAATTTTTAGCATTTTTAGAAGTTTATCCTTCTCTTTTCTTAGATCAATGTTTTAATGTTTTAATAAACCCTCGAACAGCTAAAAGTAACATTAAATTATAACTAAATATGGCCAGGTTTAGGAGAAGCTGTTTGCACTTATCCTCAAGCTTGCAGGGGAGTTTTTTTTCGAATTTTTGTTTTGAGAAGACTGAAGATTTTCATGCTTCAGCTTTCTTGGTGTTTACAGGCATTTACATCATTTACGTTCCCTGTATTAAGTATTGGCAATTCAAAGATTAATAGCGCATGAGGGAAAGAAAACAGGCAAAACTCTAGTTTTTTAGTCTTCAGTCATCAATTTTGTCCCTTATTGAGTTTTCAGGTCAAAAAAATTTGTCGCCTGCAGCGCGTCACTTATATATATGCTATTTTTAATTTTTCTACCATCCCCCCCTGGCCCCCTTTATATATTCATAGCTACCGGCCTGTTCAATTATATACCCACCTTTGACATACCTTTTAATGATAATTAATTCATTATTACCCTCATTCTAACCCCTACCCTGATGTTCAAAACTTACCCCCCATCCCTACCTTGAAAAATCACCCCCTACCTTTCCAGAACAGAGGACGGTGATTTTAAAATAAATACCTCTTTCACTTAGTGCAAAATTTTGTAGAACCGATATTCGTAAACATTTTTTTAGCCAAAGAGTTGTTTCCCCATGGAATGATTTACCCTGTGATATAAAAACTGCACCAACGTTAAATACTTTTAAATCCAGATATGATGAATATGTAAAAAAATTCTAATCTAGTTTATTTTGTTGGGACAAAAGGAGCCGAAAAAAGATTACTTTAAAAGTAAACAGAAAGGCCAAATAAGAAAAAAAATAATCTATGAAAAAATTTAAAAAAAACGTCAAAAAAGAAAAAAATGTCAAGGAAGAGAAAAAATAAAAACTACCAAAAGAAAAAAAATAAATGTCCCTTATTTTTAATCTTGATTCACTGGATATTCGTAATTATTGAATATAATATACTCTGTATATTAATGTAATATATGCAACCATATGAATATCATGACAACAATCAGAAATTTTCTTATATACTAGTCCTCAAAATAATCCTAACATAAACATAAACATAAACCCCTAATTAAAGGGAGTGTGCCATTTTCAAGGTCTAGGATAGAACCAAGAATACCAATACCTTAGATCCACAGGTATTCATACTATTAACATTAAGATGGGCATACATCTTTCACCAGCGCACCTCGTTTATACACTAGAGTCTTGCTTAATCTTATTTATTTAGTCTAAAGATACAGGAACAAGAGCTCTAAGCCGTGAAACTGAAAAATACAAAGTCAGTCACGCTTAGATTATTTATAATACGAATATTAAAAGAATAGTAATAAATAGAAATAATAAACATTTAAAGTTTGCCAATAAAGATTGCTCCAGGTGTGTAATGTGAAAATGTCATAACATAACAATGTGATTTAAAAATGCACTTACAAAGTTGATTAGGCCGGAGGTTAATAGCTCTTTAGATCTTAGCCAACATATCTCGTACACAACTAAAAATATCACGGTGAGTTCATATTGAAAGATATAGTCTTTAACTTTTAATATGTGTTTTCAATTGTTCATAACTCGAAGGAATAGTTCACACTCATCACAAGAAACTAATATGTACCTATTGTTATCCCGACAGAGACTGGGGAATAGAAGGTACAGGTAAGATCAGCTTAAAAGTTACAGGACTTGATCTAGCACTCAGGGTTGATAGGGGAGATATCTAAACAGGATTAAATTAGTTTATTTAATCCCTTGAGTAACTAGTTTCAATCTGTTGATCATCACCTTTTATAATTCAGCTTTATCTTCAAGCTGTTGGGTTTGGAGAGAAGTGTAGTTCTACTTCATCCAAGGAGAGATGGCAGCTACGGCGGAGAGATGGCAGCTACGGAGAAGAGATGGCAGCTACAAAGGAGAGATGGCAGCTACGGCGGAGAGATGGCAGCTACGGCAGAGAGATGGCAGCTACGGCGGAGAGATCGCAGCAACGGCGGAGAGATGGTAGCAGCGGCGGAGAGATGGCAGCTACTGCAGGTTTATGATGACGAGGATCTGAGCAGCAACTCAGATCAGAGGAACCAGGCTTATCTAAAGATAAACCAAAAGTTAAATGAAATTCCAAGTCAGCTTAACTGGAGCTTCTCAATTGATCACCTGTTTATATTTAAAGTTCAGAGTTCAGGTAGAACAGGTGGTAGCACGAGATTATTAACTGAATTCACTTTTATAAACATCGATTGGTTTCTCAGTTTAGAGTAGAGCTTTAATGTTCGTTGAAAATCATAAAACAATTATTTAGATGTTTAATAAACCTTGAGTGCACAACCTGGAGCTAACAGGACATTAATTGGATAAAATATAGTCTATCCCATTATGTTCTGAAACATAAGGGCCATTAAATATAAGTTTTTAGAAATAGACCTTGAGACTATATATAGGTTTAAATGCAGGATATTTAAGATAAACTTTTAATTACAGATTATGTATAAAATTCTTGTTCTCAGATTAAAAAGTCCAATAAATATTGTTTTCAGGATAAAACTCATAATTGTAGAATAAATATTTGTAGGTTATAATATCAGAATCTTGACAACTTGTGTAGAAACATTTGTAGAGTCTCGTGCTTCGTGAATCAACCTGAACAATAGACATAGAAAGATCTCTAGATCTTACAGGGAGATTTCGCCAAAACGAACGAGTGAGTCAGGTTTAATTGTTAAATAAAGTCAGATTCGGTCGCTACTTCTATCTGTTGCGTCTATGAAGAGAATCCGACTTTTTTTAGGATTCATCCTAATCCCCCTTTTCTTTAACGCAAACACTCCCTTTAAATCCTGTTGTCTAGGTAAGCTGGACATGAATAACCCCGAGGGTATGATGAAGATGAGTAAGAAGGGTAAAACCGTCATGATGTTTGTCAGGATTAATAATTTCAAAGACAAGGAGGAAACTGAGGAGATATCTTCTATCTGGCAGACCGGTCTCTACAACAGTCATATTCAGGTTGGGGTTTATAAGTACTACGTTTTAAAGGGACTGTCCTTGAATTTTCAAGATGTTTGCCTTAAAACGTTATTTTTTGACTGATCAAAGAGTGCATGATATATTCATTATTTTCTCTTTGATTTTTAAAATTGTGGTCTATTGAGTATTATTTGCTTCAGAAACAATAGAAAAAAATTAGAATTAAACCCTTTTCAAGTTGGAAAAACGACAGTATTTTCTATATTATTCTCATGAAAAAATATAGAGATTATGTAATATCTATATTGGATGTTGCTTTCATATTTATTTAAGTAAAACAATCTTAGATTAAAAACTCCTTAATTATATGTATGCACAGTGCACACATTGTACATTTATGACACATTATTCAGTATACACACTCTAAAGCATTTTATGTACACTCTAGAACATATATTATGTACACTCTAAAAATATGTATCTGCCGTGTACGTACAGTACACAGCTTTAACGTATGTGTACAATCGTACATCGTACTGTGTTTAGGCTGAAAGATATCTGATAGAAGATGATCGAGCTTTGTTTATGTTCCGAGACGGTAGTGCAGCATGGGAAGCAAAGGAATGGTTGAAACCGGTTTTTACGTGTATATTTTCTTTAACCCCCCCCCCCCTCCCCCCGGAGTTAGGTATGTTTGTAAGGTTCGCTGAATTACTGCGATACAAGTTTCTCTAAACTATTAATAAAAGGAAATAGAACAATTTTGCGGATTTCGTCATGTGAGAACTTTGAAAAACCGGTTTGAATCCCTGTTCACTAGGACTTCCTGATAGATCAAGAGCGCTGTGAAGATGTCCAGCTTGAACAACAAACATATGTTGGAAAATTCTGTCAACTCTGCGAGGGAGATGCAGACAAGAAAAAGGACAAGAAAAAAGACACGAAAAAAGACGCGAAAAAAGACGCGAAAAAGTACACGAAAACGAATGAGAAGAAAAAGAGTGGAAAGAAAGAAGAACTTTAATTACTTTGTGTTTTTTTTGTTATAGTAGTCTTCCATTTTACATTTTTCGAATTAAAATTATGTAATTGCTTTATTATACAATCCTCATTCCTCATGCTTGTTTGGGTTTAGAATCTTGGTAGATCAGGCGTTACGTGTGTAAAAATAACAAGAACAACAACACTACTTAAACTCGGCCGTTTTATACATTTTGTTATGTTTAATGATTTTGTAAGTTTGCATAATAGAAAACTGTGATTAGCTGCACTCAATTAATTGATATAATTTAATTCAATGATTTTAATATTGTGTTACTGTTTATAAATATATTCTTTTTGAAATTTACATTTTGCTGTGATCTTTATACTTTTATAGGTACAATGCTAACATGAATAGAGTACCCGGTATTTTGAACAGAACTATTAAAAAGTAAGTTAATTTAAGCATTTTTGTGTCATCTCCAATAAGATGTATCACTATCTTATGTATTAATGAAGTAATATTTACAGACTTTTAAAATGTTAGTGATCTTAAAACCCCTACATAACCTTTATCTGATCAATATTGTTGAAGATATTGTCGTCATTCATCTAGTGTTTAATTCTGATAATTTCTTGTAATTTTTATATAAGCAGATATCCGAACGTCCGTAGTAGATAAACAACAATTAAAAATAATCAATTTTCAAAGTTATAAAAATTGATGTCGCATTCATTCTTTATAAAAAAAAGTGGTACTCTAAAATGGAGGGTCACTTATTACGCCTTCAGTCCATTTAGGAGTGGAGGTAGTAATTATTCTGTAAAAGGTTAAAATGTAAAATTTAAATGTACGGTGAAAATGTTTTTTTTAATAAGGTGTAAATTTTACCAATGAAAGTTAAAAGAAATTATTAAAAGTTTATTTCAAATGTTAACAAATGTTCTTGGGTCTTACACTAAGATTAACTTCTTTTCTTAATTTTAAATAGGTCTTATTATTCGATATAAAATAATTAATCTAAAACACTCCTCTTCATTATTTTATACTTTTTATCCTCAAATTAACAAGCACTTGCATAAATGATAGAAAACTTGTATTATCATTTTTATTATTATCGTTATCGTTATCATTTTTATTATTATTAATATTATTATTAATAGTCACTCCCGCGGAATGAGTTGGGTGGCAGTATGTCAGATGACGTCTACGAACGATCTGCAGGTAATCAAAATATTTTAATATTTTAATACCAGTTGTAGGACCCGGCGTTGCCCATGGAAAAATAAAAATAAAAATTTTGAAAAAAAAAACTTTTAAAAAAATTAAGATTTTTTTTCAGCCTTCCCTGACCACCACACATGAGTGTCCACAGCAAATTTCAGCCCAATCGGTCCAGCCGTTTGGCCGGCTATAGGCAACATAATATATATACGAATGTCTTAATGTTTTATTACATAGTTTTACCAATTTTTTAAAAATAATTTTTTTAATTTGTGGTCAGAAATTTTATTTATCAATTAGTGATAAATCTATATTCAAAAATTAAACGTGAAACTATCATAAATATAACTGATTTTCTCAATTATATTTTGTACGTTTTCCATAATCGGAACCAACTATTTATTGTATATTAGAATATGTAGAAAGGTTTATTTTATTTAGTACAGGGTGGGTTAGAAATAAACGGTGGGATTTAGAAATCTTTACCGACAGGGTTTAAAGTAATAAGGCCAAAATTCACAAAAAATACTTATTTTTTGGTCCGTCCTCGGAATTTTACCTCTTTAAACAAAAAGTTTTGTTTTAATAAATCCATTTGTCAGCAAATTACGCATTTAGTGAAAACAAATGTTTTGTGACTTTTTTAACATTGTCCTTATAGGCATATTTGGCAATTGTCAATTTTAAAACATCTAATTAAGAATAATCATAATTCTGATATTTCGACTATTTTTGACAAAATGAGACTTTTGGTTGAAAAATTAAAAAATCTTTGAAAAATGTAAGTTGCGTACTGTGAACTAAATTTAGGACTTTCAGATTAACAAAATGACTCCCGATCCCATAATTTCCCTTTTAATCGATCCACTATATTTGCATAATCAATTTTAGGCTAACTACGAGCAGGCTAGCGGGCTGGTCGAGAAAGCAGCTGCGCGTGGCGTTAAGATGGTTTTTCTTCCAGAAGCATTTGATTTTATCGGAGAAAGTGGCGCGGAGAGTTTGAAATTAGCACAGAGTCTGACGGGAGATACTCTAAGGTTAGGTTCTTAAAACCTTTTTTTTTGGGTGGGGGGCGTGCATAAATTCATCCCCTTAGGGTTTCAACCATTTTAATTCAATGTTAGACATTTTAGAATAAAACTCTTTTGCCGATGTTAATTAATGTAGGTTGACTGGAAAAACACATTTAATGGTATCAATATATATCTAATAAATTTCTATTGTTTGATTATTTAAAAGGAATGCGACATTTTTACGTGTTCCTTCTTGTTAGAATTAAATGAGCATTTAATCATGTAATTTAATAATTTTTAAAGTTTTAACATTGATGTTCTTGTTCATGTCTAATATTGTGTTAAAATGCATTTAAAATATATATTCCTTCAAGTGCAGAAACATATATATATATATTGAAAATCCGAGAATTATTTTTGTTTTGTTTTACGATGTACACAAAGAGAACATGTTCACAATTAATTTAGAAGATGGGCGCGAAGCGCCCTCTAAGGCTAGTATATATAAATTTGTCTTGTCTGTCTGTTTGTTTGTCTGTCTGTCTGTCTGTCTGTTTGTTTGTGTCCAATAAACGTCAAAACGGCTGAACCGATCGGGCCCAAATTTTTTGTGGGACATCACGTGACCACAGGGAAGGTTTATGAATGATGAAAATTAAAAGAAATGTGTTTCAAAGGTTTTTAATATTGTAAAAAAATTTAAATTCTTGAAAATCCGCAAAATTTTTTTCTTCTTTGTTTTGAAATGTAAGCAAACAGATGTTCACAATTTAAATAGAAGATGGGTGCGAAGCGCCCTAAAAGCCTAGAAATAAGGGTGCGAAGCGCCTTGAATTTCTAGTATATATATATAATGATAATATGCTGAGTCCTGAAGAATTAGCGCGATATTTTGAAAACGATTATTTATCTTATCTTAACTTTTTGTTATTATAGACAATTTCAAGATTTGGCGGAAAAGAATAAAGTTTGGATTTCTCTTGGAGGGTTTCATCAGAAGGAAAATTCTTATCTATCATTTCCAATTTAGAATTCTAGGTTGGATTAAATAATAACTAAAAACTAAGTTCTCATTTTAAACAAGAAACATATCCTTCTTCTTAATTTTAATGTTTTAAAATTTTTTCATATTACCATAAACTGGTGACGGTCTAGGGATTTCATCTTGGGAGTTCTTTAGATTCAAAAAAATAAATAGATAAATAGAAATATAAAAGTTAGGACGGAGATAAAATGCTGAATACTCATATACTGGTGGACTCGGAGGGTGGGTTGGTGGAAACCTATGACAAGGCACACCTCTTCGATGTAGAAATTCCGGGGAAAATTAGACTCAAGGTATACGTCTTTTTTATTTCAGTTTTATTCCATTTTTATTCCATTTTTGTTCCATTTTTATTCCATTTTTTATTCCATTTTTATTCTATTTTTATTCATTTTTTATTCCATTTTTATTCCATATGTGGATTTGGTTCCGGATCTTAGATCCGTCATGTAAATAAATGGATCCGGATCCAGCTCTTGTATATTTCTACATGTTTTATGAAACTTATTATACTTAAAGAACATTTTCCGATATTTTCTTCTTTTTTTTAGCTAATTTTTGCAAGATATAATATGGAGGGATGGGGTGATTTTTCTAAAGATGTATACCCCTGAAAAACACTCGATCTTTTTGGTCTCAATCTAATCTTCTTATTGCTATTAATTATAATCCTTAAATTCTCCTTGATATTTTAATTCTTTCTGATTCCATTTTTATTCAACCTAATATTTTTTTTCATGAAAAGGAAAGCGATTATGTGAACCCTGGCAAGCTTGCACCAAAACCTGTTCCTACTCCAATAGGATCCCTTGGTCTAGGGATCTGTTATGATATCAGGTATCCGTCCTTACTCCAGTAGGGTTCCTTTGTTTAGGAATATCCTGTATCAAGTGTCCGTCCTTACTCCAGTACTACAGTACTAAGTAGGATTCCTTGGTTTAGGAATATGCTCTGATATCAGGTATCCGTCCTTACTCCAGTAGGGTCCCTTGGACTAGGGATCTGCTCTGATTTCAGGTATCTGTCCTTACTCCAATAGGATTCCTTGGTTTAGGGATCTGCTCTGATATCAGTTATCCGTACTTACTCCAGTAGGGTTCCTTGGTTTTGAATTTGCTATGATATCAGGTATCCGTCCTTACTCCAGTAGAGTTCTTTTCGGAATTTGCTTTAATATCAGTTATTCGTTCTTAATCCAGTAGGATCTTAAGGTCTAGGGATCTGCTCTCATATCAGGTATTCATCCTTATTCCAGCAGCATCTCTTTTTTTTAGAGATATTTTATATTAATGGTGGTCGGGGATCCTCAGTCCTCAAGCTATGGGACTTTCGAATCTTATTTCTTATGTTTCTTTTTCTTTGATATCTGTTTTTACAACACTCTATGGTTTATGTATTTTTGATTTTAAGAGTAACAACAAAAACAACTTAAATCATGATATATGTCTATTTGTATACCAATAATATAGTCATTAGCATACGAAGATATTTTTATATGTTTTCTTAATGGAACTGGAAGCTTAATTTCAAGTGACCTTCCATGCAAAGATGACCGATTCACAAGATTATCCTTGAAACTTTAATCTGATCAATAATGTGGAATACATTGTCATTATTCTAGGTTTTGAAGTGTTTTGTTCTAAACATTTCTATATGGGTTCCTCCAATAGATATGTGCTAGTCATTTTAATAAAGAAATCACATTGGAAAACAATCTAATTCATACTTGATCAGACAAAGCTTTCATGGGTACTATTGTAAATAGGGCATTACCATCTTTGCACAGCGGACCTCTTGCAATTACTCCTACAGTAACTTTAACTTCAGATTTCCCGAGCTAAGCTCTGGTTTGCGTGCTCAGGGTGCTGAGATACTAACATATCCTTCAGCCTTTACAGTTCCGACAGGGATGGCACACTGGAAACCATTGCTCCAGGTACACCATAAGTTGTTAGGTACTTTCCCAAAGGTATTTTCCAAAGGGCGACTTCCCAAGTAACAATTTCCCAAGGGGCAACTTCCCAAATGTACATATTCTCAAGCGGCAACTTCCCAAAGGTTAGGTTTGTAACATTGATATTTGATTAGGCTCGGGCTATAGAGAACCAGTGCTACGTGATTGCAGCAGCACAGACGGGTCAGCACAACGTTAAACGGAGCAGCTACGGACACGCTATGATCCTGGATCCATGGGGAACTGTTCTAGCAGAGTGCAGGAAAACAGGAAATTTTTCAAGAATACAAAAAAAAACATTTGAAAATTGTTCTTATTGTAATAATAATCTTATAACATCCTCATTTTCTAAACCAGTGCGCTTGAATTAAGCAGGTATCAGGTATCGTATCAGTTGCTCGAAGGATTTGATTAATTTTTCTTTGATATCCCGTGGTTGAAAGTCTAGACTCAATAATCCCTTAAATTTAAAAGTTGCCACAGTGGATATCTAAATCAAAACTCTATCTAAAACAAAAGCAATATAGTTCTAGGAAATGATTAGGATTAATCTTTTAAGGGGAGTGTTTGTGAATAGTGAAATATTGACTAAATTCAAATGCCCCCATTTGAATTTATCAATTATAAATTGTAACATCTGAAAAATTAGTTTTCAATTTAATTAAATTATTTAAATTTATTTTAATTATTTACAATTTGAGTTGAATTAGTGAATTTCTATGGGTTCTACGCACTATGGCTCTAAGAGTTTTTAACCATTTTCTCCATATAGAGTTATACAGACGCATCAGATAGACGTAACATTGGCAGGTATCGAAACCTAATTCAATTAGGGATCAGCTATACCCCCTTACATTTTCCCCGAACACTCCCTTTAAAAGAGAATTGATTTTTTGAATAATTGATTTTAGAGAAGGGACAAACTTTGCTCTGGCTGAGATAGATCTTGAATACTTGAAGAAAATTAGGAAAACAAAATCCTAATTATAATCTGGAATTTAGATGATTTAGACTATTAAACAGATATCAACGATAAGAAGATTATTCTTAATACATGGGAATCAAGTTTGTAATTTTAAATCGTGATGTCCAATTTTTTTCCCCTCAGTGCTTAGGATCCGGATCCGCAAAAATATACCGATCCACGGATTCGGATCAAATGGGCATAATATCAACCAAAAAACGCAAACAGCAATCTTTTGCTCTCAAAACCTTGATCTGAACTCCTGAAAAAAGAGAGATTATCAAAAATTTCCTCATCTCTGAATAGTTTTAAAAAAACGAAGAAAATGAAGAAAAAAAATTTGAAAATTCTGTTAAAAAAAATCTGCAAATCTTTTGAGAAATGCCCGTTTTTTTCCATAATCCAGGATCCGCATCAAGGTTTAATGGATCCTAAGATCTGCACTCAGTAGAAGTGCATAGCTTGCAATAGTAAAAACTCTACTTAAAAGTTTCTCATGTCGTCCTTACATGGATTGACTGACTTTTTTTTTGACACAGCTTCGTAATTTGTGAACTATATAGTTTTTTGAAATAAACCAAAATGGTTTGAAAATCTTTTTGTTCCCATGTTTATTGGACTTTCTTTAATTTAAATTCAGCGAAAAAAATCTTTAATAAATGTTGTGTCCCGCGCCTAACGTCTGGCAAAAAAAATGATTGTTTAAGGAAATATACACCTCTGCATGTTTGTTTGACTCTCTTTAATTTAAATATCAGATTCATGATGTTTTGTCCAGAACAAATATGCCGGTTAACCAGCACCGGAGATCAGATCTCTTCCAACCCCCCTTACCGGTCAACTCCGAACTAGGTAAATTCCTATGAAGTTGCTAATTTCCCGCCAGAAAACCGGTTTTCAATTCTTTCAAGAATAAAGAAACTTGTTTTAACTCGATTTCTAATAAATAACTCTAAAATGATGTTCATTTAATTAAAAGTATTAGTAATTATAGCTGAAGTTCCCGGCGTTGCCCGAAAAAAATTTAAAAATCAAATTTTTATGAAAAAAAGGTTCCCTAAAAAATTCAGTCCATTTGGTCCAGCCGTTTGGCCAGCTATAGCTAACATAAATACAAATATATGAGAGAAAAGTTTTAATTTAAAGATAATGCAAACAACATTAATAATCTTGAAAACTGCTTTTTTGATTTTTCGGAATATATTTGACACATTTGAAATAACTTTTTGCATAATTTAGGTTGATGGGCACAATCATTTCTTCATTAAAAATTCAGATGGTTAAAAAAGTAAATTCCATTTTTTTTAAATTGAAATTCCCCTTCAAACTTTGAACGATCAAGAGTGAACTTAAGTATTTTAGCAGCAGAGACGATGGAAGGAGATTTACAGAATTAACATCTTTTAAGACAGAAAACGACGTTACTTTTCTCATCCTTTGTGAATCAGACGTGTGACTCGATGAATTTAAGGTCCCTTGAAATTTCATGAACACAGAGTCCTTTTTAAGGTTTGCCGGAGAATGACTGGGTTTTCAAGTTTGGTCCTGCGAAGGTTCTAGGGCATTCGATCTTCCACCGAACCAGTCTCTCTGTGGTGTTTGTAAACAAGAAACCGGTTCTACCAGGTCACGTGCTAGTTTCACCTTTAAGGTTTGTTTAAAAAAAAGTTTTTTTTTGAAATTTCAAGTTTTCGAATATTATTTCGATCTTTCTGTCTATATTTTCCTTATCAAATTTTTAGACAAATCATTGTCCAAAAAGTTAAACTTATGCGGTATTTGTCAATCAATCTTTTTTTTGAGAAAAAATGATTCTTTTTGGGCTCGACAAGGTTTTTCTGAGCTCATTGAAGAATAATTAAGGATTCAAGTTTATTAAAGATTTATTTTAGAATTTTGACTTTCCAGGAATGTTGGGCGACTAGTTGACCTTCTCCCTAACGAGTTGACCGACCTGTTCACTTGTGTACAGAAGGTCGAGAAGTTTCTTATGCACCACTACAGTACAGACAGCTGTACAGTTAGCATTCAAGGTAGGTAGATGTGCTATTTTCAAGGTCTAGGATAGAACCAAGCATACCATTACCTTAGATCCACAGGTATTCATGCTATTAACACTAAGATGGGTAAACATCTTTCACCAGCGCACCTTGGAGAGATATCAGCTACGGCAGAGAGATCGCAGCAACGGCGGAGGTTGTACAGCTACAGGGGAGACTTTGTAGCTGGATGAAGATCAAAGCAGCAGCTCAGCGTAGAGGAACAAATCCATCCGTTCTGGGGGAGAAAAAAGGTCCATATAGGACCAGTTGATCAGGAAGAGTATCTGAATATAAACCGAAAATTACTCAAGATTCCATGTCATATTGACTGGAATTCTTCCATTTACCACCTGAGCTGAAAACTTTAGAATGAGATATCCTTAATCCCGATTACTTAATCTGAGTATCCAATGGAAACACTTTTGATTTTCTTCTTAAACCGTTCTTTTTTGGATATATTAGTGAAAAATCTAAAACCGGTTTTTTAAATTAGAAATTCCCTCCCGTTTCCGTATATTTATATTAAATGGTGTTCAAAATTTCAAATTTCCAGGCTTCTTAAACGCGACTCTGATTGGTTGAATTTTATACACTTTTTAGGATATAAGTACAAGATTAGGTAGTCTTGATATTAAGAAAAAGAGAGGATCAACCATTAATCCCGATATCCACCATTCTAAAGTTTTCAGCTCCGCTCAGTTTATATTAATAGTTCAGAGTTAAGGTAGAACAAGTAGCAGCACGAGATTAAGTCCGGGTTCAATTTTATAAACATCGACCGATTTCTAAGTTTAAAATAGAGCTAATGTACGTAGGAAATCAAATTGCAAATATTCAGATGTTTAATAAACCTTGAGTGCATAACCTGGAGCTGACAGGATATCAGTTTAACAACTAAAATTTATCCCATAATGGTCTAATATGTAAAGGTCATTCAATATTTCTAGGCTCATTTTATTTAAATCTTAAGGCTCAGTTTATTTAAAATTCTTGTTCTCAATTGAAAGCTTTCAGCATATAGTTTACTCAGATAAGACTCTTGACTTTACAATAAAATGATTATATATTCAGAATATTAGGGGAGCAGTCAATTTCTTCATTAACACTCATAAAGTCTCTTAAGTCTTCTTCTCGTGAATCAACCTGAACATTATTCATATACAAATCCTTAGATGGGCATATCTTTTGTTGAATTATCAACCCAACGCCACTTAAGAAGTTATTTTTATTTTCTATGTTAAGAACGCTAGAGTGGATATATGGAACCCCCCCCCCCCCATGAATTATTATTTTAACAAATTTTTACTTATTGTCCGTCCCCCGCTCACCCAATTAATATGTTGAGATAAAGTACGGATTTAGGGGAAGTTTATAAGCCAAGTAAATTTTCAAAGGCTCAGAATATTTTTTTAATCTTTGTAGTTTCCAAGGTTTAACAACAAAATATTCGATTCTACTTAAAGGGACTGTTATGGTAAAATGAAAGGGGGTATAAGCTGAAGCCTAAACATTTTATGAGTTGATGACGACCAATATTAGTTCCATCTGATGTCTAGAGAAATTGTTATAAAACTGTGTCAAAGTTAAACCAAAAAATTCCAATTTTGTGTATAATCTAGATGGACCTGGAGCGGGTCAAACTATCCCTCATCTCCATGTCCACGTTCTACCTCGTCGCTCCGGAGATTTTCAAGAGAACGACGATATTTACAGGGACCAAGATTAATTAAATCTTTTCAAGATTGGGATTAAAGATTGGACACAATTGGACATCAATATTTTACCCATTTTAAAGATATCTTGATTTTTTCACCAATAGACAATGAACATCAACTAATGTATATATGAAATGACAAGTATGGTTTATGGTAAAAATGTTATGACTAAACTTACACAGGGGGCGGGGGGGGGGGCGGTGATTAAAGAGACTGTAAGCGTAATTTCAAATGACCCTCTATGCAAATATCACAATTTGTCTTATTCAAACAGTACCCTTGATCAAGTATGAATTATATATCAATGTTTTCAATTTTGTAAACTGATTATTTACAATTGCGGTTTCTCTACAATTATTTCACCAAAAACTGATGAATAAATAATACTTGGTTTGAACAGAGAGCTTGAAAATCATGATAAAGTTGTAACTGGATGGAGAGAAGAAAACGAAATGGCGGCAGAGTCAGAAATCTTCCGGTATGTCTGGAAACATTTATTTTGTTAAATATTATTATTACATTTCAGAAAGAATGGCGTTTAATTCCGGTTACGCCTACCCTCCTCCCCCTCCTCCTGTAGACAGTTCTAGAACAGACGGTCAATATGCATACGGTTCGAACAATATTCATAAAAAGTTCAAGCTCAATTCTGGCCAGTCGTCCAATCAGAATTACGGAAATAATGATAAAAACTATGCTAATTATGATGAAAACTACGTAAATTCATTCTATCAAAGTTCTAGTTATTCATCCTATCCGGTTAGTTATGAAAACAGTTCCTCTACATATGGATACACAGACTCGGAGCAAGGTTATTCGTCCCAGTTTGTCAGGACGAATTATATGGGAGAAAAGGGTTACTACACTAATTCATCAAACTGGGGAAGCGACTATGTTGAAAATGGTTTTGGAGGTGGGTATCAGATGAGTGATAAAGGTCCGGGAGGGGGTGGGAGAGGAATGAATAGGGGGAGAGATTCTGGAGGAGCAGGATCACGTGTTGGCGGAGCGCAGAGAGGAGGTTTTCGGGATGAAGGAGAGCGTCGGGATTTTTTCAAGGATAGAAGAGAGGAGGGAAGAGAATCTTGGAGTGGTGGGAGTAGAGGGAGTAGTGGACAAAGAACAGATGGGAACAGGGGAGGGCGTAAACGAGGAGGAGGGTCATGGGACGGGAGAGAACGTGGCGGAGGGTCAAGGGGCGGGATAGAACGTGGCGGAGGGTCATGGGGCGGGGGAGAACGTGGCGGAGGGTCATGGGGTGGAGTAGCAAAAGGAAGTGAACCTCGAGGCGACCGAGGTGGGGGTTCTCAAGGTAGAGAACTCAGAGATAATGGTGGTCGGAGGGGAAGAGGTCCAGAATTTCGCCCTAAAAGCACTGTTATAAAACCAAAACATCCTCCCATCACAAGTGAACAGAGACAAAGAATAGAAAATAATAATCTGAAACAACTTGTCGCTCCTAAACCCCCACACAAGATATTATCCGAGATGGTAGGAAGGAGTGTCAAGTATGAATATACCGATAACCCGCCCTTACCCCCGGGAGTTGTAGAGCTACAGGAGATGCACACTCTACTCACAACTATAGACGGAGATAAATCAAGTGGAACCGGACCCAGCTTCGATATAGCGAAGAATATCTGCTCGGAACACGCGATTATGACTGTGGTGGCTAAACGGTATGAGGCAATGAATAAAACGGTGGCCGAAGGATCAAAGACGAAAGAAGAATTATTGATCGAGGATGAGACGCCCTTCGAACTGGCGAGTATCGCAGTATTTAAGATGCTAAACGAATGGGAGGCGAAGGGGTTCGAGTTACCACAGGAAGGATTTTTCAATCAACATATTTCTCATAGCTTAAGATATTCTGGCGTGTTTATTTTATTTATAAATCTATTCTTATTTCAGATATTTCTTATAGCTTAAGATATATTTCAGATATTTTTTATAGCTTAAGATATTCTGGCGTGTTTATTTTATTTATAAATCTATTCTTATTTTTGAATGGCAAATTATATCCCGTAATAGATTTTCAAAATCATTTGTTGAAATTGATATTTTACAAAAGTCGATTTCATGAAAGGGGAGGGTGAGTTTGACCAATTATAAATACATTTTGGAATCCTGTCTTCATGTTTTGAGAAATCTGAATAAAATTTTGCTGATGGGTGTCATTTGTGTTTCTTTTCAGAAAAATTAAAAAAAATACTGGGGAAAAATATTTCCCCCCCCTTTACCCCAATTTTCCATGTTTTTTAAGCTTTTTCACCAAAAAGTCTGATTCAAATACCAGCTAGGTGTTTCTACCTGTTTGTCAAAAATTTCATTATTAACATCAGAACGAAGTATAAGGTTTTCAGATCACTTTTACCCCTTTTTCATATTTAATCATATTTTCCCACGTAGTTAATATTTTCAGATTTTCTGGATTCATGAATTTATTTTTCATCGAAATAAAATTTTTAGACCACAGACCTCAATTGGATACTATTTAAAAAAATATAACTTTGAATAGAGGGAAATTAATTACAATTAATGGGAAACAAATTTTAATGTCTGCTTTAAATGAATTTCATCAGTAAATCACATTACTGTATATCAAACTGTTAACTTACCTCTATTACAGAAGTGGTGGGGGACAGGTTCCGGTAAATTGTGGAAAGTAGAGGGAAATATTAAATATAGCTTGATTGATTGATTGAGCAACTACTTAAATGATGGATTGATTGACTGATTTAATATTTTCCCCCACTTTGTATTGTGTTTTACATCAATAAAATCCAATTAAGGCAGGTGTTAAAAGTTTTTATTTTTCGACGAAAACTGAATCCATGAATCTAGAAAATGTGAAAACTATTAACAAAGTGGAGAATGATGATGTTAGATGATTTTTCCCCCTTTTTATTTTGTTTTCCAAAATAACTATCCAATTGAGGCCTGTGTGCAAAAGATTTTTAATTTTCGATGAAAAATTAATTCATGAATGCAGAAAATGTGAAAAATATTAACCAAGTGGGAAAATTCCCAAATGTATTCAAATTTGTCAAACTCGCCCTTCCCTTTGTTATACATGTAAAAATAAGAAAAGATTAATGGGGAAGAGGAAAAATCTTAATTATATTGCGAGACGGACATCATAATCTTTGAATATGTATTTTTGAGAATTTTATTTCAATATTTAACAGGAGGTGTATTTTTTCCTTGGGTCACCCCCCCCCCTCTTTTAGAAAATCGTTAATTTTCCCCAGAATTTATTTTAGGGGTTTTTCGACGACTTGTGGAAAAAAATGATTTTTTAGGGAAAATAAACGATTTTTTCGAATTAAAAGTATTAGAAAGAATGAAAAACTTGCTCTTTAGATGTCCCATTTTTTTCAATTCATCAAAAAGCATCCCCCGGGCCCCGGGAGGGGGTTGTAATTCTGAAAAATCCCTGATTTCAAATTGAATCCTGGTTGAGTAGGATTTGGAAGATGTTCTCTACACCTCTCATCTGTTTAAACCTGTAAAGGAGAGGTTGGATTGGATTAGAGGATGTAATCTCGGTTTCTCAACTCCCCTACAGGTTAGACATCAACGTCCACATTCTCACCCCCCCCCCCCTACAAAAAAAAGAACTCTTGGAAGCTTATTTACCAACATTAATTTATTTTTGTTCATATCTAGAGTTCGGATCAGCCCGTTGTAAAGAGCAGTCGACGGAAACCAATGCAAATGCCTGAACCCGCTGTGATAGAGCAGAAACATCCCGTGGCATTCCTCAACGAGATCCAAGGACATGTGAACTACGTGGATCTGGGGGTTTACGGGACCGGGGACTCACAAACATTTACCGTAGGGACTAATATTGACGGAGTTCCATATAGTGGGACCGGGTCCTCTAAAAAGGAGGCAAGGAGAAGTTGTGCCGCAGACATTCTTGATCGTGTTTATAGAATAAAAGTTCCTTGTCTCAGCTCGTCACTTGATCAAAGAGGAGAAAATAGTAAACGTCGTTGATTTTCCTTACTGCCTCCAAGCTACGATTAAATTAATTGCGTGTTTTTTAACACAAGAGTAGATTTTCGGTCCAAATTGGCGGCGTTTCCTTCCTGATTTTCATATTTTTATCCGTAATTGTCAAATGTACACAGGCCCTCGATTGACATCCTTTGTCCGTTTTGTCATGCGAAAAAATTTTAGATAAATTTTCAATTTCAGATTCATAATGGAGGATGGTTAGTCTAGTTTGTTAACCATGTTCAACCTTGCGTGTTGACTATGCCACCTCAGAGTCCAGAAATGTCTCATCTACCACGTAGAGATTACTCAGGGAACAACCCGTCTTCCTCGCCAAACCTTTCATACTCAGGGTCTCCTCATATACAGAGAGATTCGCCGCATGTCCGAAGTATCAGGTTTGTACATAGCGTCCCATATCATTAGATTATCTGCAAGGGTTGAAATACGCACATAATACTGCAAATCTTTATATTGGGCTTGTACAATTTTTTAAATTGATTTAATCTTTCTAGATTTTCTGATTAGTCTCGAAAATCTTAATTTAGAAATGATGTGGGATACCCTGTATATTATAAAGGACTGTCGTTGCTTTTAAGGTAGCCGTCAAAAGGGGCAAGGCCAATTCACAATTGCACCCTCTAAACCTTAATCGGATCAAAAATATTTTTCTAGCTTGATAAGTGTTAGATTTTTACAATTTTCTTCATTTTTTCTAAAGCAGATATTCACAAGTCTCTTTGCATGAAGAAAGCACAATTGGAAAACGGCAAATTTTTAAAGTTAAAACCATGGATATCATACTCCTTCTTGATCCTACAAAGTTAGGAGGGTTTTATGGTGAAGCGGACATGTCACTTGATATAGTCCGTTAATAGAACCAACGAATTAGATTTTTTGATTCTTACAGTTAATCTTAACTATTTTTTTAACTATCCATCCAAACCTTTCTGAATGTCTTGCTATTCATTAAATTTTAATTGTAATATTTAGACCTGTTCGACAAATATTTTTTTCAGAAATTCGCCCCAACCCAATTCTCCTCTTGCATGGAACTCCTCCCAGCCTGGTTCCCCGTTCTCACGGAACCCTTCTGCACCTAGTTCCCCCCTCGCATGGAACCCTGCTCCTCCGGCTTCTCTGTTGGCACGGAACCAAGCTCCGGGTTCTCCAATGACTAGGAACTCTCCGGTCCCACAAACTTTGAGTTTGGGACACAACAGTCCCCAGGTTCAGCTCCGACGAGCTCCGGATTCTCCTCAGCTGAAGAACGGATCTGCTCAGAGTTCTCCGTCCTTGAAAAGTGCAAACGGACAGAACGGAGCAACGTTAGTATTTATATTTTCTGGATTAACTCAATTTTTGTATTGAATTGAATTGAACTCTATTGATTAATTCTGAACTGTCTCTTCTTATCTTAATGGGTCTTTTTCATCCGTTTCTTTGTTGTCGATGTTAAAAACGTTCCGCACAAGTTATAAAAAGTAGATTTAAAAACTCAATAATCATATTTATTTTATTTAATGGCCTTGGGTTACACATTTTTGTTTTAATATTGCCAACAAAGGAATTGAGTTTTCTCACAAACTCTGATTTTCTTATCCCTATATCTTTGCATTTCAATGTCAGAGAGAGACCTTAGATATTTCAAACTATGAATTATTTTAGAACAAATAATANTGTTGTTTTACAGATAGCTTTACTATGAGCTTGAATATCAACTTCAGTATATTTGATGTTGTTTTCGCACAAACTCTGATTTTCTTATCCCTATATCTTTGCATTTCAATGTCAGAGAGAGACCTTAGATATTTCAAACTAGGAATTATTTTAGAACACATAATAATAGTTTGAAATATCAAAGGTTAACACCATCAGGTTGCAAAGATATAGCGATTTGAAAATCAGAATTTGTGGCTAAAACTCAGTTCCTTTGTCGTTAGTTAAGTAAACATACAAACTAATGGTTAGAAGCTGAGACTGGTAATCTGGCAGAATGTCAGGTGTCCGCTGTAAAAGTTTTCCAATTTGATAAAAAGAGAGTTTAAGTAAAAGCAAAACAATATCAAAAGTGTATTTTCTATTCTTTTTGAAAACCTAAACACAAGCTGTAAGACCATATCTCATTCTTGATTTAGTAATTTCATCTTGAAATTGAGATTGACATTGACATTAATATTGATATTGATATTGATATTGATATTGATATTGACATTGATATTGATATTGATATTGATATTGATATTGAGATTGATATTGAGATTGATTGATTGATTGATTGATTGATTGATTGATTGATTGATTGATTGATTGATTGATTGATTAGAAGCGGGAACAAGATTAAATGTGTATTTATCGGGGACGGTGCTGTAGGGAAAACATCCCTTATTATTTCTTACACAACTAATGGGTAAGATAAGTATTTTATATTTTCTTGCAATTTTTATTAAACATTTAAATTTTTCAATCTTTAAAAGGACCGTTCACTTATTTGGGTAATTGAGGGTAAACTAAATATAATAATAACCTTAATAATAATGATAGATACTCAAATGATAACGCTAATATTAATGATAGATACTCGAATGATAACGCTAATAATAATGATAAATACTCAAATGATAACGCTAATAATAATGATAGATACTCAAATGATAACTCTAATAATAATGATAAATACTCAAATGATAACGCTAATAATAATGATAGATACTCAAATGATAACGCTAATATTAATGATAGATACTCGAATGATAACGCTAAAGATAATGATAGATACTCGAATGATAACGCTAATAATAATGATAGATCTCGAATGATAACGCCAATAATAATGATATTTCCTCGAATGATCACGCTAATAATAATCATAGATACTCGAATGATAACTTTAATAATAATGATAGGTACCCGAACGAATATGTTCCAACTGCGATAGATACCTATCATGCTGTTGTTCATGTAGATGGACAACCTCTTACACTAGAGCTCTGTGATACACCAGGCCAGGTACAGATACATGTGATTAAATGATTTGAAATAATAATTGATAAATCGAATGATTGATTGACTGATTGATTGATTCTGTCACTGATTGATTGCTCTATTGATTGATGGAAATAAGATACGCATGGATGAGTGATCTTACAGAATTTAAGGATTTGCTTGGTATGTGTCCAGGGGTGCCTTGTGATATTGGTCATTTTTATATCAACCCCACGACCTGATCCTTCCCGGGAGCGTCCTTTTTTTTTTTTCATCCCTTCTTATAAATTAAATCAAAGGGGCTGGAAGGTGCCCCCTCTCTCAAGTTGGGTTCTCATTTTTTCAAAGTTGGGGGGGGGGGAGAGACCGGACGTCCCC